ATTTGTCACTAAATTTTGGGGTTTAATAAGGAGTTGCGCTAATATTGCGCAACATAAAAATTTTCAACTACCACCATTTTATTCTATAGGGTCTTGGCATTCAGAAAATATATAATGTTGGGGGGTTTTACGTCATTTTCAAGCCTAAAATGTGGAATATAACATGGGTGCAAAAAAATGAAAAAAGGGCCTCAGTCATGAAGGGGTTAAAAGAGTGATGTAGAAGAATAAAGAAAAAATGTCCCAAACATCCCACAAATGTGTTTGCTGATCACACATGGGCAAGATTAGATTTCCCTTTGTACAGTAGGACAGATGTGCATATTTCTGTCATTCTAAAAGATCTTTCTTTAGCAGACTCCAGAGAAAAAACAGAATGACCAGAGGAATCGCAAGAGGAAAGCAGAACCTTATGAAACAAGTCAAGGTATGCTGTGCCCTGCTGGCGGGCTTGATTTCTCATTTGGTGTATGTTTTCAGTTGCTCGTTAAGGGGGTCTCTCCTTATTATAAATCTCTCAAATGGCTTGAATGAGGTACTTGAAATGGATTGAATTACAGTTAAAGGTCAAGCATACCCAAAAAAGTGGTCCTTGGCGTAACTGCAGCAAGTACCACTTTATACAAGTCCTATCTTTAGTTCCCATTGACTTGTGAACATTTATTACAGACACTCAATTGTTGTATGTGATGTGTACATGATACATGTGTATGCGATAAAACCTCCATCTATTGTACAGGCTAGTTGGCAGCCATATAGGTTTTTGTTTGTCCCCCCCCCTTTCTGTGATGACCTTGATCACATGATTGGGAACTATACAGATTGGTTTCTGCTGCGTTTTACTGGTGCCTAAATCTGAGGCGGAACCAATATGTATATGGTGTTTTAAGAGGAAGGGAGGAAAATAGTCTTCCTAGCACTAGGTTCATCAAAGGATGGATATCGGCTGCAGAGGATGACTGGGTTGGCAGCCAACATGGGTCATTTTCCTCCACTCCTCACCAACACCTCCACCTGTAGTCAGTGACCCATTATGGACATTTATATAGCTACTGGCTCCATGTTGACATTTTACAATTTTAGAAAGAGTGAAATCCTCAGCACCAACTTCCTTTTGTGGTTCTGAGATGTCGGGTCACACAATGCTGTGGAGGAAGCCCATGTTGGAAAATGTATAAAGACGTGTCACAATTACCCATGTCGTTTAGGCACACCAACCTTTCACTATGCCCACCAAGCAGTGAGGCACTGTGGCACACTTTGCATGGTACACTTTCTTAAACCCACATCTAGCCATCACTTTATAACTTTCAAACTGTATAACATTGCTACATCGATGTACTGCTGAAAAAGGCGCTTTGTGTCTGTGATATTTGGTCCACATGTTCTGAACTGGATTTCCTATCTTCCGTTGTAGTGGGAGGACTTCCTACGTTTACCTGTTCAGATTGGGGAAAAGGGGCAGGACTGTGATTTTTACCACATGGCTGTCTAGTAGTGATTCAGAAGTGAAATACTTGGCTGCTTGTGGGTGTGAATGTGTTGACATTTCATTCGTACATCGGTGTCAGTGGGTGTGCAGTGTAGGAGTACAGTTTGGGAGGTCAGATCCTTTGAGCTGGATTTTCATGTGCTGTATTTCAGGCCTGTTTTTACATGCCTTTTATATTCCTTACTATTAAAGGTGCATTTTGCTAAAAAAAATAAAAAAATAGCAAAAGTTGCAACATGCAGTTTCCACACAGCACCAAAACAGACAGTTCCGTTACTTTTATATCTGTTCGTACTTTTTTTAAAGCCTCTCTTTTTTTTCTGTTTCATTTTAGGGAAAAACACTCCTAGAGGACATAAAATTAGCGATTATTTTGAGGTAAGTTTTTTTTCAAACCTGATCTCTCTATGAAATATCTGGTGGCTCAGGGCTGGCCAGCTTGTCTGGGATTTAGAAGCCACGTAAGAAAGATTTACTATATACCTACTGATATATATTAGGGTATTTTTTTCTTTGCCATATACTTTTATAAAAGGTAACATGGTAACTTATATTCTATATTTTAATGCAGTTTGCTGGGGGAAGTGGCCCGGGGACAAGTCCTGGCAGAAGCGTTCCACCGGTTGCCAGATCCTCACCGCAACATTCCTTATCAAACCCTTTACCCCTAACGGTAAATCTTTTATGGTTCATCCACCCCCAAATATTTTCTGACCTGCTTCTTTTTTTTTTTTTCATCTCCTGTCTACAATTACTCATTATGAAACCATATTCTAGCTTTCTCACGATTAATGCACTGGATGATTTCCAACAACCACAAAGGCAGAAATACTGTTCTAAATTTGCATTTGTTCGTTAGACAAATATCAAGAGGATTGGCTGCTATGGGTGATGCACTTTACACTGCTTTATCCAAATAAACCCAATCAGGAGGCAACCCTGTTCTGACTTCATTTAAGTGAATTTCAACTGGTTGCTATAGGTTACTTGTGTGTGCTTATATAGAGTAAGGCCCGATTCACACAGGTGCGGAAAATATTGCCGGTATGTTTTGTGGTGCATCAATGCCCAATTTGGGCCCCATAGACTTCAATAGCAGTGCACCAAAAACACATGTAACATGCATTTTAGCATATGACAAGAAGTCCCAACCTTCTCGCAACCTTTACTTGCACTAAAACATACATCAGAAATGCAGGAAAGTGCAGACACAAAGGTGTGAACCCTAGCCTAAGGCTGGCCATACACCTATCAATTATTTTTTTCGCTCAATCCTCGGGCTGAACAAAAAAAATGAACCCGATTCCTCCAACACAGAGTGTCAATAGAGGAATCCCACTGTTTACATTGCTTTCTGACAGGTGCCACTGGTACCTGTCAGAATACCTGATCAGAGCAGGCAGCTCATTGGCTGTCGGCTTTGATCGAAATTTTTTTCCAGCCGGCTCATTCGATCAGCTGATTAAGGAATGCCGGCTGAAAGGGAGCCAACAGCCCCACACACTACTAGTAGGACTATACAGTCTGACCCTTCACCATGAGCCTCTGCTGGGAAACCTTTGCAGGTTTTTTCGGCCTGCTGGGGCCACATTAGGCGTGGGGATGCTGTCAAAACAAATCAGTGATATTGGATATATGACTAATATGACTAGATATATGAGAGAAATGCTGTACAAGCCTGATGTAAATGTTGTGTGTTTTCATGATGTTGCTGACATCTGCTAGTTTTAGTAGTTTTCTATTCAGCTAGTAGCTATATTCATTCAGAAATATTTTATCCAGTGAATATTTGGCCTAGTTTATTTTGCTAGCAGCTTGGCACTGTTCTCTGCAGCACATTGGGCAGAGGGTTAGTGTGGTTTAAACGTATTCTGCTGTTTTTAATGTTCATTGCTGTTTTTTGGTCGACTGGTGCAGGGTTTCCTTATTTTTTTGCTGCATTTCACCTTCTAACAATTGATTTGGCACATATCTTTATACTGGGTAATCTTAATTCTGCTCTTTTTCTTTGCAGAGTCAGCAGAGCAGCCCTCCTTCCTCCACACCATTGAACCTAGATCATTCCTCTATCCCCATTAAACAGATTTCCGTCCAGCACAGACAAACGCAGGTAAGAATCCCATATCTTCTGCTTTAGTAATAAAGCAATCCTGTTCCAACAGTTGAGGTGGTTCTGTGCACTGCAGATTGCTTTTCCCTATCAGAGTTGTCTCTTAAAATAGTGCAGAGATCTGTCAGATTGTTCCACGGTGCATTTGATAGCAACCTCTGTAATCTCTTGAACAGCCCCCTGGAGCTCTTGGCTATAATGTACTAGTATGTACAGGATATTGGCACATTTATGGCAGACTTTCCTCCCAATGCTTTTCCACGCCAGAGAATTCCTCTTCTCCCTGGATTTCGGGTCTCTGGCCGCGCCCCGATGATGTAACAAGAAAATTAAACTAATAGACTAACATGAGTAAGCAGGCAACTAAAAGCACCATCACTTACCACTTGCTTTTAGATTTCTCACTCGGACATTTTGTTCTGGCTCAAATATGCAAGTAGACTTTCTCAGTCATGCTTTGCATGGCACCAGCTTTCATGTGATAGTACCTCAGCACTGTTGATTTGTTTCTCATGCAGACTGCATTGCACACTGCCATAGTATGGGTTACCACTGGGAGGAATTGGAGAAACTGGTTTTTAGCAGTTGTTTTTCCAATCAGTTTACACCAGGAATGTATTGACATCATTTTACATAATTATTCCATTGGGCTTTAGGGCTCATTCACACAATGTGCATTTTACTGCGTTGATCAGCATTGAGCAATGCAGCTTTTCAATGCAAGGGCACATGGAAAAAATTGTTCTGTGCCCTGTTCACGCTGTACACGCGATGCAGTGGTGTGTGTGTGTAAAAATGTAGTATGTTTGTTTGCATTTCTATGCTGTGCAACTCACGTCCCTGTAAGTCAGTGCATGCAGTGTGTTGCGGTGAATAAAGTTAAATCTATTTTTTTTTTTTTTTAATGAAATACTCTCAGTATAGTAAACAGTGTGATACGTTGTACCTGACAGTTTTGGCTATTGAACAGTGCGATTACACAACACTATTCCCGCACTGTACTGTCACTGCAACTCACCAGAAAAAGAGTGCTGTATGTGGTGTCTAGGATGAATGAAACGATGAATTGTACAATAACCTGAACTACTGTGGTCATAGGAAGGATACCAATCATTAGAGGTAACTTGTGGCTATGGCAAAAAAAAAAGTTTCCCTGGTGTTCCAACTAAAAGCAGAAATCCAGGCTAAACAAATATCTTCTAAATGCAAGAGCCGTGTCTTCTTTTCTTGGTGTCCTTTTGTGCATTTCTTCCAGATCCGTACAGTAATTGAACAAGAAACTCCTCCTGCACTGCGTTTCTCTGTGCAGGAAGCATTCTGTAATAAAGTCCGGTCACTGCTGCTCTTCCCTTGTTCCCTGCTTGTGTAGTTTTCTACAGGTAGCCTATAGTGGAAGGACCTGCTGGGTCCCACCCACAGTCCAGTGATCATTGCTACATGTACAAGATAACTGGGTTTGCAAAGGCATTTGGTGCTGACAAAGTGGATTAACATCCTTTGTTGTTATTCAGAAATAAATTTAAAATGTTTTTGTTTATTTCTTTTCTAATTCTTTTTCTCTTCAGTCTGACCTCACGATGGATAAAATATCCGCGCTCGAAAACAACAAAAACTCTGACCTAGAGAAAAAGGAGGGAAGGATAGATGACTTATTAAGGGTGAGTTCTAACGTTCTAGGGGAGAAGTGTCAACTTTTGCTAAGGGTACTACAAAGTTGCTCTGTGCATCATAGAAAAAATATAGTTTATATTTGATAAAGAATATTAATAGTACTATAGAATTGGGACAGGAAGACAGCACAATCTAAAAGTGGGCATGGATGATGCCAAATACCAGACGATCGCCTTGTAGTAGCCCTTTCCCAATACGATCCAAAACAATTCTGCTTTGCTGGAGATCCATTTTTAATGATAGACATTGTTTTTTTCCTCTTTTATGCTTTTGGAATAATTGTTAAAATGCCCGTATAGAGCCTTTCTGTCATTTTGTCTGCATTACTAAAGGCAACTTACTCGGGCTCTGGTGTTCTAAAAATATGGGAGCTTCTTTTGCGATCTTATTCCTTCCACTAAAGTTATATTTTTGGAGGACACACCGCTGCTTTAATTAAATCTGAATTTTCACAGTAAAGGAAGTTACCATATTCATTCTATCAGCCTTTTTATTTGGCTGATCAAATATTCTTTCCCAGTAGGCAAAATTACAAAGCCATGACCCAGTCTGTGTTGCCTTCCCTGGGAAATGGTTGTTCACAAATGGGCAAAATATTGCTGATACCAAACATTTTAAAACATTTAGATGTTTTTATTTTGTTTTTCTTCTGAATGTGCAGGTAATAGTTATAACTAGGGATGCGTCGATACCGAGTGTTTGAGCCAGTACTCGTACTCGCCCAAATACTTCCGGTAGCAGGAAGCCTGGCAGCGAGTCATTACATGCTCGCCGCACTTCTTGATTGGCCAAGAAGCCGGCTCAATACTCTCTCGTCACTTGGTGACAAGGGAGCATGGAGTCGGCTTTCTGGCCGACTGGTGACGAAAGAGCATGGAGCTGGCTTCCCGGCTAATCAGGAAGCCGGTTGGGGCGGGTAATGACTCGCCTCCCGGGAAATCATTACACGCCGCCCCGGCTTCTTTATTGGGATTTCCTTGAGTACTGAAGTAAAATATCGGTACTCGTTACTGAAAAACCGATATCGCTGTATCCCTAGTTATAACTAATGACAAGGCTGATTTTACAGTTGCATTTTAACCTTTTTTGGTGATGACCTTTTTATAGGTAAATTGTGACCTCCGACGGCAAATGGATGAGCAGAAGAAAATGTTGGAGAAGTACAAAGAACGGTTAAACAGATGTGTGACGATGAGCAAAAAACTGCTTATTGAGAAGGTGAGCCTTTATCCACTGCAGTTTTGGCATTTGATAGTTAAATGAAATCAGGCAAGACTTGCTTTTAGAAGATGGTGAGGCAGAAGATGGTGAGGCATATCTAACCCAACAGCAGGTTATTAGGATTGTATCTTTTTGGTTTTCAAGAAATGCCAAAGAACTTAAACCATCAGTAATTTCACATCTAAAAATGAAACGCTCATCCAGTTATGCCGGGATATTCATTGGCACTTTTTTAGTTACGACATAAGTTGTTCTTAAAATCCATCTTACACTGAGGTCAGTGGGACTTCAGACTTTAGGAGTCACTGATTTTGCTGATAACCTAACATCTGTAGTTCACATTCCTGTTTCGTATATTACTGCATGTCAGTAGTGTGTGCCACTGTCTAGTTTATATTCAATAAGTATTCTGTCATATATGATCATGCTTGGGCTGCACAGAGTATAAATCTTTGCTTATTTACCTTGTTGCCTCTGGAGTCCTTTGACAGATTAGTGTCTAGTCAGGTTTGGGGAATGAGGAGGTATTTAGCTGTTCCTAGGAAATGCTGATGAATGTGTAATATCCGTGTTAATAGTTGGAAGGTTTCACAGTCCATGGTCATTTTAAAATGTCAAGAAGAGCACCTTTCAAACACAAAGCATGCTATCCTTTCTGTCACCCGTGTAAACAAAGCTTTAAACTTTTTAGGGCTTTTACCTATACCCAGCTGTTCAGGTATTCTATAGATTCCCCAGGGAAAAGTTTTATGAAGAGATTTGGTTGAGTATGTAAAAACAAATGCTGATTGACCGGGAGCTGTTTGTTTTACATGATTTAAATAAAGCTTGATATACTTGGACGTGTAGCTGATTGAACAGGGCATACTGCTTTTCAGAGTTGTTTGTCAAATATTATTGCTATGCAGGTTGTGCACATCCTCGGTTTACATTTTTCATGACGTGTATAGATCTGGTGATTTTTTATCTTTTTATTTTCTCTTTAGTCCAAACAGGAAAAAATGGCTTGTCGGGACAAAAGCATGCAGGATCGCCTGCGGCTGGGCCATTTCACTACTGTCCGTCATGGGGCCTCTTTCACTGAGCAGTGGACCGATGGCTATGCCTTTCAGAACCTCATAAAGTAAGGAAGAATGTTGTATATGGTTAAAATTGATCACTATATACTGTTCACTGTATATTGTAGCTGTATATGTCTGAAAAATTGTGTATTGTGATGTATTCTGAGAGGGCATACCTCCTGGGCATTTGGGATTTGCTGCCGTGTGGGGGTTGCAACCCTCATCAGACGTAAGATTATTGGTCCTCCAGGCTTTTTTGTAGTATTCCGATGTATTGGTTTTCAAAGGTCTGGGAGTAAGTTGTTCATTGTTTTGGGTACTGCATGTATTTCTCAGTACCATACTATATAATGAAGACTGCTTTTTACAGATTTGAGAGCCCATTTAAGCTATAATCAAAGGTTGTGCACCTAGCCTCTAGATCAGGCTTTCTCAATCGGGGTTCTGTGGAATCCTAGGGTATCTCCAGAGGCTGCTTAGGGGTTCCTTGAAGTGGCAAATTGAACTCCTCCTTTTTACAATGACTACTAATGTAATTGGGCAATTTTTCACGGACACTCAATGGATTTTTCTACTCTCAGCAATGTTAGGGGGCATTGTTTCACTCGCCACCAGGGACACTTATCCACTTACCACCAGTGTAAGGAACAATACACTTTCCACAGCCATTGGCCATTATTACTATTTGTTTTCTATTAGATTATTTGATACCAAGAGGGGGCCAATACCACCCCATGCTCTGTATGAAAATAATAAACTAAAGTATGCCACTTTCTTTATTCTTTCAGTTACGTTTTCCACAACCTACTGGTCATGCTAACATCATGAGCTCTAGATAAAAATGTTAGCAAGGGGTTCCCCGAGTCCCAGTATTTTTTCAAGGGATCATTCAGAGTAAAAAGGTTGAGAGAGTCTGCTCTAGATAGATTTTACTGGGTATCTACAAGGAAAGAATTAAATTGGAATAAACTGCAAAGCATGGGGTGTGCTCCAAAATGCTGTACACCTATGTATTCCCTTCCTAAGATTAAGCAATGACTTGGCCTGGGCCCTGGAGACCTACATTGAAATAATTCTGCAAAAGCAACCTCAAATGAGTGCTTTATAAACAGTATTGCATAGGAAGGGTGTCTAAGTTCAGTTCATATTGTTTAGGATAATGCCTGGAAATATGATTTTCGTATAGAAACATGTTCAGTTGCAGCTATGCGGTATCACGTGTAGTATCCATAAATCTCATAAATGTAATAATCCTCAGACAACAAGAACGAATAAACTCCCAAAGGGAAGAGATTGAACGGCAACGGAAGCTGCTGGCTAAACGGAAGCCCCCAGCAATGGGACAGACGCTACCTGCAAATAATGAGCAAAAGCAGCGTAAAAATAAGACCAACGGTGCAGAGAATGAAACGTAAGTAAGATGGTACCTGTTTGTGATAGACGGCCATGTGTTATTAATGTTTGTTTTATTCCTAATGGCCTGTCTTTAAAATGGACCTAAACCAGTAACATAACATGTTTCCTACCCTTCCAGTCCTTTGTAATCCAAAAACAAATATCAGTTGGTGTGGGGCCACAGGCAAAGTGACATTTCTTTTTTTAGGATAACTGATATAGACTTGTTAATGTTTACAGACTACCAATGTTGCCACGGATTAGTATAGATGGCCTTTGTTTTCAGCAACTGTAGGTTACTGATTTTTCTCTCAACTTTTTATTTTAGGTTAACCTTAGCTGAATATCATGAACAGGAGGAGATATTCAAACTGCGATTAGGTCACCTTAAAAAAGTAAGCCCTTAAGCCTTTGTTGCCCTACCCAGTAGCAGTCTTGATTTTCATGGTAACTCAATTTACATTCATGGTGTTGTTTGTTTTGCAGGAAGAAGCTGAGATACAAGCGGAACTAGAAAGGCTCGAAAGGGTCAGAAATTTGCACATTAGGGAGTTAAAAAGAATACATAATGAAGATAACTCTCAGTAAGTGCACCAGACTGAGATTGTCACACAGTTGTTAAACCATCTCTATAGAAATATTGTCATGTGCTATATTCTAATGGTATGATGGGTGTAGCGAGTAACATTCTTACTCTACTCTAGTAGATGTCATGGAAATGCTCACGAGTTTAGAATTGAATTAATTGGCTTCTGGGTTGTACCAAAACAGCAAGCGCATGAGGTCGTGGACTGGCTGTTGCTGTGATGGTCACCATTGTGTGAAAGCAGCAGTGCTCTGTTCAATTGTCAGATCCGACTCTCTTGCTGGGATAAACAATATATATAGCAAATCAAGCTTTTTTTTTTTCCCCCACTCACCTGTCCTGCCACTTGTTCTCTGACATTTTTGCTTATGCAGAGCAGTGGCTTCTTTGCATCTAGCACACTTTCAAGTATGTTGGGCTCCTAGTAGAGGTGCACCGAAATGAAATTTTCATAACTTTAAATTCTAACTTTTTTTTAAAAAATATTTTTATTTAACTTTACTGTCAGGGGCTTTGGGAAATATCAGTGAGCTAAACAGACCCATGATATTTCCCTTTTAAAAGAGATTGAGGACACAGAGTGCTCAATCTCTTTTTCTGTAGCCCCTGCTATGAATGAACCAGAAGCCTCTATACTGAAGGTTTCTGTTCATTCATAACTTGTGGATATAGTATGTTTACTATGTCCTCAATCATGAATGAACAGGAAGTGATGTAGAGCACTTCCTGTTCATTCAGAATTGGGTACACATTAAACATACTATGTCCTCAATTATTTACAAACAGTGATCGGCTGATCGCTGACTGCTTGTACCTGCTCTCCATGCTGACTCGCTGTCACAGGAGGCTGAACCGGCGGTAGAGCTCAGTCTATTTTTGACAGCTGACTGCTCCCCCAAACCGCCGGCTTGGCCTCCTGGGACATCACGGCTCACAGTGCTCTCCTCCCTGCTGGGCGCTGCGTTGTCAGCAGTGCATAACGGGGATGATAGAAACTAGGAATGCCCTTCAATTTCGGCCGAAAGGTGGTAGTCAGCGTTTTGCCCAAAGTGCCATTTTTCGGCTGAAATTTTGGTGCATCCATAATTCCTAATCCCCTGCTGTGCACTGGCCCCTATAGCATTACAGAAGGGATGTAGGGGTTAGGGGAAGGAACCACAGTGTGCGGCACACGGGTGGAACAAGAAGTACCCCATAGCACTGCATGTTTTTCTGATTTTAAAAATGAGATGGTATATGTAGCTTTCTAAACAACCTACTCATAATGCAGCTTTCCCTCTATCTGAGGAAATATGTTCCACTTGTCTAAATCTTCAACACCAGATTCTACAAGCGCTGATTAGAGGCGAACATCTGAGGGATTTTGCCCTAATGGAAGCTGCTTGTTTGTACATTACAATGACGTCAAACTTTTCCAAATTGAGTGTTGCCACTTTGGTCAGGTGTTTGAGTGTTATTCTTTATCTATTTATCAGTTTATCTATTTTAGCAGCTGAAATGAACAGATTTCATGTTAGACATTCCTGATTTTTTTTTTATTTTTTTCATTTTAGATTTAAAGATCATCCAACGCTAAATGACAGGTATCTACTGCTTCATCTGTTGGGTAGAGGAGGCTTCAGTGAAGTGTATAAGGTAGGTTCTAAAATTGCTTAGAAGGTGTCTTTGCCTTTCTCTAGATTTTACCAGCCAAATGTTTCCAAAAACAACATGCATAATATTTTTAGTTCCGTGATCCCACCCGTTTGTAAATGATATATACAGTCGTACCTCGATTCACAAACTTAATTTGTTCCACGATTCTGGTCGCAAACCGAAGCAAACTGTGATCAGACCGGGATCTCGACTAGAGGAAGCCACGGCTAGGTGTCAGAGCAGGGAAGATGGCTGCGGTTGTGTTCATCACCCGATGTGGAGTTCGCGAACGGAAGCAAAATTTTGCCGGACAGAAGCGTTCGTGAACCGAAGTACCACTGTATATTGGAGGGAAAAAGGCTGTTTTTACGTCTTTATGTTGTATTAACGCGCAGTTTAAAACCTGTGTTTTACTACAATACCCAGAGCATTGTGTTTTGGGTCCACCATAACACACAGAACCATGGTGCATATGCGGTATAGGTGGGAAGCTGAAACTAAGGTTTGTAGATGTTCAGTTCTAATCCACGAACATCTTCTCTCTTTAAACCCTCAGGCATTTGACTTAACGGAGCAAAGATACGTAGCTGTGAAAATACACCAGTTAAATAAGAACTGGAGGGATGAAAAGAAAGAAAACTACCACAAGTGAGTAAATACTCTGAGGTTTAACAAACGTCCTTGTTGCTTGCAGGACGTGAGCTTAAATGTACCTGTGTGAGGAATACGTTTGGATTAATGCAGCAAAATACTGGTGAACATAAAGCAAAAAGGAGCGCCTCCATAGTGTAAAACAGTATTTAATGAAAAGAAGGCACGCAGCTAAGGCTGTACTTACAAACAACTGTAGAACACAGGCATGTAACAAGGATGGGTAGACGAAATCACAAACAAAGACGAGCTGGAGTATTGATGTTAAACCAGAGTCTTCTGCCCCCAAGTATTCCTCGGGTTTACATGTTTCAGAGGCAACGCCCCCTTCATCAGAACCTATCGTTGCCTCTGAAACATGTAAACCTGAGGAATACTTGGGGGCAGAAGACTCTGGTTTAACATCAATACTCCAGTTCGTCTTTGTTTGTGATTTCGTTTACCCATCCTTGTTACATGCCTGTGTTCTACAGTTTGTAAGTACGTGCCTTCTTTTTATTAAATACTGTTTTACACTATGGAGGCGCTCCTTTTTGCTTCATGTTTTCCAGTTTGTCGGTTGCCCTGACCAGTGGGAGCTGCATCACTAGTGTTACTAGTTTGTGTGCATACAAGTCGCGGCTGCTAGCGCCGGTCTTTTTTTGCTTTTCCTCAAATACTGGTGAGCCTGTCACAGATTAGACCCAATCTTGATAGTCTCCCCTCTATGAAGTGAGCAATTCCTTCTGCTGATGGATGTCCACTTGGGTGTTGAACATTTCGGAAGGCAGATGTTGGGCTTATAATGGCTCGTGCTGCCTCATAAGCAGGTTTTGAGCAAGGTCTGCAGATTGACCTGTTTATATATTTACATCTGGCTAAATGGTTGCTTCTTACTAATTGAGCACCTTTTTATGAGCCCATTTCACGCCACATTTCATTTTACCATGTCTTTCTTATAAGGGTTCCTACAGGCACATTTAGTAGGGAACGTTTTGATTCCCTTCATCACTGTTCTGGGCTTTTGACCATAGGTTATCCCTTAGGCTGTAAATGAAATTAATTGCTCAGGCAGATCACCACAAATCTAATTACCTTATAAAAAGGAATTTTTCTGATGCTTGTCACTTCGTTTTTCAGCAATGGTGTGTGACATGTATCGGTTTTTATGCTTTCATTGTTTCTGCTTCATTTTTATTTTATTTTTTTATCTCCTAGGCATGCCTGCAGGGAATATCGTATTCACAAGGAGCTGGATCACCCCAGGATAGTCAAACTTTATGACTATTTTTCTCTTGACACAGACTCGTAAGTAGCCATGTGTGTACTTCTGTTTATGTGGCACGTTACACATTCATGCATCCAGTCAGAGCCAGCTGTTGTGCTGTGTTGTCTGGAAATTACGTTTTTATTAGCTGTACCACTGTGTTTGTGAGAGGTTTAATACAAAAGGTGGTCTATTTAAACAAAAAGACATTCGCCCATCATATTTGACTATCATTTTTAAACGATTCTCTGTTTGGTGGCTGATAGGTGAATCTTCTTTTGAATTTTTTATTTTTTTTATGTGCCATCAAATCTTGTTTGCAGTTGGAATAGATTATATTGCATTCTGATGGGCAAATCATGTTTTGTATGCAAATGTGACTTGCCACTCTTGCTTGTAATTGGAATATATCTTATGTTGGGTACTGATGGGTGAGTCTTGTTAGATTTTAAATGTCACAGACAAATCTCTGTTTTTCGGAACACTTTCCTTTGCACTTTGCGTGCAATCAGTAGTTGGATAGTTTTCAAAACTGGAGTTCCTTTTGCAGAGTAGGCTTTGTACTTATTGTGGGCTAGTAGATTAATGGCCAAGCCGTAAAGTGATATGCGTGACTTGAAAATGGCCATGTTTCTTTATAATTTCTACTAAAATGAGTGCGTTTTGGTCGTATTGATAAAAGTTGTCAGAAGATGACTGCTTTTGGCTTGCTATGGTGTTCCCAGTAATAACCATGAATACATTGGCTTACTGCACCAGGAGATTGCTAATCGACCTTGCACAGAGCTCCTGCTGCAGAGACAATGCCCTGTTCTGTGTAAGGTTTTCCCTGTGCCACTTAGGTCTTCTAGTGCAGCGATGTGACTTTATCTGTGCATGTTTATTCATCCTCTACATAAGTGACCAGGTGTGACACTGGGAAATGCTACTCCAGTATTGCAATAGGAGACTATCTGGAGGGCATCTTCAGCTAATTCGGTCCTTATGAGCCACTGCACCCCTCAAACTTTGTTGGAATAAGTAGTGGCCTCCACTGGAAGTTCATTGTCCTGCAGCCTAGCACCTTTTGGAGCCAGTGATCCTGTCACTACTGTGCAGTTGTATGCCCAGTCATATAGGTAACCTAATTCTCAACCTCCATGCTGGTTGTTAGAATACAGGTTTCCTATATGCACCGCTTAAATATCATTAACTGTGACTCGGGATTGCATACCAGTAGTGGTCAGATTGCTGAGTTGTAGGCAGGCCATGACACCTAATTTGGAATGGGCTCCAATGAAGGTCAGTGCTTGTTCTGTCATGTGACTGCCTATTTGTAGTCTTCACGGTGTAGTGCACACATTTGTTGAAGGTGTCAGATTCTGGATTATATGTAAACTGCTCCCACAGGGATAATATATATTTAAAATGGATTTTAGCATCCACTGATTTTCTGTTGGTGGCAACCTTCTATAAAAATGTTGGTTATTTTGCAGGTTCTGCACAGTGCTGGAGTACTGTGAGGGCAACGATCTGGACTTTTACTTGAAACAGCACAAGCTTATGTCAGAGAAAGAGGCCCGTTCCATCATCATGCAGATTGTAAATGCTCTCAAGTACTTGAATGAGATCAAGCCACCAATAATACACTATGATCTAAAGCCAGGTAGGTACTCTCGTCACTACTTGTTTAACTTGCATAGTACATGCATGAACAATGATGCTTAACATTTGGCAGGGGTGGGGGGAAACGTTCTCCAGGATAGGTGTACAGTGCCTTGAAAGAAAGATTTGCTTTATGTAATGTTTCTTTTTGCAGATTTCCCCACCTAATGGTCTTTTGCAGTCTTGCACAAATGTAAACTTTTTCTCTGAGCTGGTGGATGAGAGAACATTTTCAATTAGAAAAATGTTTTTTCATCTCCCATGTAAGGAAGAAATGTTAAGATTCTCCAAGCCACATAATGGCTCGGGGAACACAAATGTATTAAATTTGCCTTTTTGATTTACCCATGGCCATCTACCTAAAGTGGACCTTTTACCCCCTTTCCCTAAAAATCACAGCTGCATGCTGATAGAAAATCATCTTGCATTCATTAGTTAAACTTGTTTTTCATTTACTTACAAATAAAGTTCATCCACTTCCTGGTCCAGTTCTGGCAAAATGATGTAATGTGCCAATAGGTTGCATTCTGGGAAGATTACATCAGCAGAGCATTGCTGGGAAATCTCATCTCATGAGATCTCAGGGAAAAGCATTTTCCTCCCCTGAGATTATGTGCATGGTCACATGTCCTAGTCGCATGTTCCAGGAATTGAAGGGAGAGCTAGTAATCTGCCCTTAGTAAACATGGCCACTGTCAGACTGGTGAAGAAAAGAAAAAAAAGGCATGCAAAGAATACAAAGCCGGCAATTATCTAGAAGTCTGTGTTTGTAGATTGTCAATAGTAAACATTTCTAAAGATGTGTTTGTTTTTATTTTAAAGATATGGGTAAATGTCCGCTTTAACTATGGCTGTCTTTGTAAAATGTATCCACAATGGAATAACTTAATGTTAAAGGTACTCTCATTGCTAGGTAATATCCTTTTGGTTAATGGTACCGCCTGCGGGGAGATAAAAATCACAGATTTTGGACTCTCTAAAATCATGGATGATGACAGCTATAACTCAGTGGATGGCATGGAGCTCACGTCACAAGGGGCTGGAACCTACTGGTAAGTGATGGGCAGAGTGCAGGCTTTGACGTTTTTTTAATATTGAAAACCTAAGGAACTAATCCTATTTTACTTGAATAATCTCTGCTACTGCTAGTAGACTGACGCATACTTGCCACAACCTAGGTGCAATTTATTATCTTCATAACCCAAAGGGATCCCTCTGGATTATGAATATGCACCCATGTGCCACCCCCACCTGTCTAAGGGCCAGTGCGTTGGAACATGCAGTAAGGAGTTTCATGTCAAATGTCTCTGCCTAGAACTGTATTCCCTTGGAATAAGAGGGGCTTTATTAATATGTAATAATCCCTTTATAGAATGCCTTTAGCACGGGGGAGTATTGTATACCTTTTAAGGGGACATGTGATTATAATGTAACTGTACATGACAATGAAACTTGGTAACGTTGTCAACGGTCATGCTGTTAACTCGAACTAGATTGCTATGTGTTTGACTGTTTTTTCCAAGGCTTTACTTATATAGAAATGATTGATTATGTAAGACTGAGACTGTTTTTTTTTTTTTCTTTCCAGGTACCTGCCTCCTGAATGTTTTGTGGTTGGTAAAGAGCCCCCCAAAATTTCAAACAAGGTTGATGTTTGGTCTGTAGGAGTCATTTTCTACCAGTGTCTGTATGGGCGGAAGGTAATGTTTACACCCTTCAGTGCAAATGCTGGGATTTAATTTCACCTATTTTAACCCGTATTTATTTCTCTCCTCCTGATCCTAAAAATAAAAAACAACCGGGTGGTTTAGTGTAAGTTTTATGAGTGAATGAGTCTGTTTTAGTCCAGTTTTATCATGGGGGGCATGTAAAGTAGGAATGAACACTGGGCTCAAACTTAAGAGTTACAAAAGAGGTATAGGAACATGCATGTATGCACCATTTTCCTTGTTGGTGTTCCAGGACAAGCAAGCAACAGAACCTTCCTTGGACTTTTAGATTTTCATTGTATCTGCACCCCATTAGGCATGGGCGCACAGTGCTTAAATCTAGATGTTCATTGGTAAAGCCCGTGTAGTATTGATCTGAGTTTGATTTAAGTTTTTTATTTTCATGGATTATAGAAGATCAGGACTAACTTATACACCTTCTCCCAATTTTCATTGGGCACATTCTTCTTGAGCTGCATTCGCGAGTGAGCTGCAGATGAAAGATTTTCAGTACAAAAAAAATCCTAATAACTCATGGTTATACTATTTGATGTACCTATAAGGATCATTTCATGTTTGTCCACTATTGTTATAAACCAAAGCTTTCTCATACAAAGTTAAAATGTATGTGTAAGCAGAGCTCTTCTGACAACACTAACATTTAGGACTTCCCATCACTTTGTCTTGGTGACCATGGTCCGCAGATAAAATAGAGAAGGTGAATCTTACCAGCAGGGGGGCACAGAAAAAAAAAAACTACACTTGACCGGTCTTCTAATCTTTCCAAGACGGGCTACACATACCATTTTAATTGCCGCTGTCATGTATTAATATTTCATAACCTAAAGCATGTTTGTGATTTTATCTTGTAGCCATTTGGTCACAACCAGTCTCAGCAGGATATCTTACAAGAGAATACCATCCTTAAAGCCACAGAGGTTCAGTTTCCTCCAAAGCCAGTTGTGACCACAGAAGCCAAGGTATTGAAACTCTTACACCCTCATTTTGTGTGTGCATGCCCAGGAAAAGGGTGCTGGTTATCTTTCTCCCTCATTCACAACATATCTGTTTTTCTTTTCCAACAGGCTTTTATCCGCCGTTGCCTTGCCTATAGGAAGGAGGATCGGATAGATGTCCACCAGCTAGCGTCTGACCCCTACCTACTGCCGCACATCCGTAAATCGGTCTCCACCAATAGTCCAGCCACCGCTGCAGTAGCCTCAACGTCTACTTCCTCCAACAACAGCTTGTCAAACTGAGAGAGCACGGATAAAGCACTAGATTGATTCTCTGCTGCGTTACACATTGTGTTAATGTCGGCAGAGGAGTTGCACGGCTCCCTTGGAATACGTTTCTTCCTTTTTGGCGGAGAGCAGCGAGTGCTCCATGGAACATTTCAATTACTGGCTTATTAGAGCCACAAAAAGCTGGATTTGGAATGGAGCCTTGCAATGGATCCACAATCCCTGTCGAGTGGAAGCCTATGTCTTCGTTGGCAAGGACCTCAAAAAGGATGACAAGGCAGTAGACTTGGATCTGTAACTTGGACAATGCATCCTCTCCCATCCTCCCCTTCCTCCCCTCTCCGTGGACTTCTTATTTCTCTACACAGCTGACAACCGTTAAATGAAAATAAACTTTTTGTTAAGAAGATTTTCAGGCGCTGGGTCCTAGTAGACTGGACTTGTCCTCCCCTCCCTATTCCCTTTGTTGATATTTAAACCTGTTCTGATTCCCCTTTCATCATTTAATGAAACGTTCAAGTGAGATTGCCAGAAGGGTGCACAAAATTCCTGTGGCCTCCCTTATTCATACTAAGAAGCCAAGAGGCCCTTCCTAGAAGCGGAGCTATTTTGTTACCTTGTAAAGTCGATCCATCACCTACAGAGAGCGGGGGCATCTGTTTTTAGGCTAAACTAATATTCTTAGAGTTCAGTAGGAACTGGTCACGTCACTGTCTCTCCTTTTTTTTTTTTTTCTTGTCTTTTCTTTTTTTTTTTATAGTTCTTGAATATTGGTTCAGACCAAGAAAAGAAAAAAAAAGGTTGCCTCCGTTTTATGTAGGCGATGGGTCCACTTTGAGGATCTGGCAGGGCATAGGTTTTATTAAAGTGAAATCCATATTACTAGGGACAGAGGAAAGTGTTAGCGTTTCCTTTTCATCTTCACAGTACAACTTTTCCAGGCAGTTTAAAAGAAGAAAAAAAAAGTTTTGAAATAATAATAAGGTTCTTAATATTTGTTCTTTGGAGTTTTGCTGTGTTCGAGATGCTATAGACAGTTGGTAATCAGGATCTGAAAAGGAAGCAGAAAACCTTCCCATGGTTGACATCTGGTCTGTTTTCAGCAGCAGACAACCTTGCATGCTGTAGTAACTGCTGACCTTTGATAGTCCACGATCTTGGCCGACCGGTGGTTTTTGGTTAAGTCGCAGCGAATATAGTGCTGGCGGGTTGTTCATGTGTTATAACACACTTTTGCAAACTGTTGTAAAGATTAAAACAAAAAAATGGAATTTCACTGTAAATCTGTTCACATTTGGTGGCAGTTGCTTTGAGCCTTTCTGGTTTTTCTGAATCTTGCTGAAACATGTCTTAAGGGAAAAAAAAAAAAAAAACTTTGTAAATGCTGACATTTCACACAATGCTGGTGTGTAACTTGCCTGGTTTGCATCCATGCTTGTTAGCATTTGAAGTCTATACATTCACAGACTTTGTGAGTGGCTGAAACCAAAGGAGTTTTGAAAGCTCACTCTCACTTTTGCGCTTTGATCATGAACGACATTGTGTCTCTTAGCCAAAATAATATAGATGCCTTAGTAACGACTATTACTAAACGTGCTATCTGTGTTCGGGGTCACAGCAGTAGTGACTGATCTTGCAGACTGTCGCTTTCTTGGTGGTC